CAGTCTCTGCTGTGGGGGGTCAGCTGTGTGTCAATTCCAACTTAACAGCAATGAATTGAGGTTTTGGGTGGGGTGTGTGTGTGTGTATGTATACACTCATCCCCTTGGTGCAGAATAGGTCAGCCTCAACAACTATAAAGACCTCAGAGTAACTTCACAACTGTGCATAACACTAATTGAAAGCAAAATACAATTCAAACTTCTTTATAATGAAACATCTTTGAAAAGACTGACCTGGGAATAACTTTAAAAGTAATAGTTGATGACAGAGGCCAGAAAGTGGCAAGTTAGGAGTCAGACTCAGCCTGAAAGTTGGATTTCATATGGTCCCCACCGTTTGAACTTTTTTTCCCCTTATAAAAAAAAGTTTGGTCTGTTGTTCGATGCTGTTGAGGTGAACAAAGGGGAAGTACAGCCAGGCCGCGCCTCAGCATCCAAAACGGTGAAACCTCATCTCACATACTCGAGGCAAATTATCAGGAGAGACAAGTCCATGGGAAAAGACATCATGCCTGGAAGAACAGAGTCATGGAAGAAGAGAAAGGTCCTCAAGGGGACAATGGATGGACACAGTGACTGCGACAGTTGGCTGGATTATGGCGGAGATGGGGACAGCACTACAGGGTTGGGCACAGGTTCCATCTGTTGTTTGAAGGTTTGCTCTGAGTCATAGTAGCCTTGAGAGCATCCAACGATGACAACAACTAGCCTGAGATTACAATCCTACTCATGAATGGGTTGTCTTTGTTACACTAAGGAGCGTGGATTCCTCAAGAGTGTATTTTGAGTCAATAGAGACAATTACATTGGGAAAGTTAGCTGTCAGGGACTTCTCCAGAGTACTGAAGAGCAATGATGTCATGCTGGAGACTAAGGTGTGCGTGATCTGGGCCATGGTCTTTGCAATTGTGTGCTATGCATAGGAGAGCTGGACATTGACTAAAGAGGATAGAGAAGTGATGCCTTTGAGCTCTGGTGCTGGAGAAGAGTATTGAATATACCATGGACTGCTAGAAGAAACAGGTTTGTCCTGGAGAGGGTGAAATTGGGCTGCTCCTTGGAGACAAGGATTCTGAAGTCCGTCTGACATACTCTGGGCTTGTTTCAAGGAGGGACTAGTTCTTGGAGAGGGTTGCCATGTTGGGAGGGTAGAGGGACAGCTCAAGAGAGGAAGACCCTCAATGAGATGAATTGATTCAGTGATTGGGGTAGTGAGAGTAGGTGTGTCAGAGACAATGAGGTTGGCACAGGATAGAGCAGGGTTTAGGGCTCTTGCACATAGGGTCGCTATGAATCTCAAGTGACTCAATGGCACATGCATAACAACAACATCTTACAAGATGTAAAATAAAATGAAGGAAGTTTCTGCTTGGAGGTGCCCTTAGGTCGTTTAGGAATTGTAGCAATCCGGTGAACAACAGACTGGACCCTTGCCCTAGCCTGTGCCATCTTAGTCGCCACACTGGAGCCCACTGTTCATCCATTCCTTTGAGGGTCGTCTCTTTTGCTGACACTCTGCATTCCCGAGAATGAAGGCTCTTTGCAAAGAATGGAAAAAAGAATCCTTGGAAGAAGTGGAGATTGAATAAAATAGATGCTAAACGTTTGGAGATCTCTGAGGGAATTGGCAAACAGAAGCTAGAGACACAAGAACCTCCCCCTGTGGGACCCAGAGTTTTGCCCCAGAGCTGGCACTCTGCTAGTCCAAAGGCTGTTCAGTCTGATGGTTTAAAGTTCTTAGGAGAACAATTCCTCCAGGGAAAGATGGGCAGTCCCTTCCACTGTCTTCACGGCCTTGGAAACTCAAGGAAGGGGCAGCTGTGAGCGGGTGCCAACTCAACGGCAAGAGAGAGTTTTGTTTTTCTTTTAGATTTGTTGTTTTTTGACCTCCTGAACAGTAAGAAAATAAATTTATTAAAGCATTTGCTTATGATGTTTCAAAATGAAGACATTTAGAAATTGGAAAATAGCACATAACTGCTAACTTTTCGTGAAACACTGAAAGAGCTGTTGCAGGCAGTTAGCTTTCCCTCGAGGCAAAAGCAAGGTGGGGATTCTCAGGTCGCAGGGTCCCCACTGGGTTTACCATTTCATTCACCAGGTTTCTAATCCTGGTCCAGACAGAAAGGTGGAAAGGGTGCTCGGTAATTTTTTCTTTTGCCTCTTACCAAGCCTATTCTGTTGAGAGCCCAACGGAATCACTAAATGCCCAGCTGCAAAAGGCAATGTTAAGGGAAATGTAAAGGCCCACATTTATCCATCCTTCTTATGCTGTTTTCATCTTGAGTTCCATGCTCACCTTACAGTGCTTGTGGGGCCTCATCCTTCCCAAACTGGGCTACGGTGTTGTCACGTGGGGTGGGGGTGGGGTAGCAGCCCACTTAGCATAAGAAATCAAGAGCATTACTTCTTTCAAACCTCTCTCCCCAATTTTTAAAATTTTAGTTTTTCTTTTCCCACTAGGATGTTAAGTCAGTGCTAAAATGCACTTGAAACCAAAACTGAAGTATAACTGAAGCAAACAAGAATGCATTTTCTCCACTTTGCTTTGCTTTCCCTAAAAATGTCGTGTACGTTTTCAAGTTGCCTTATCCAATGAGAGAGTGAGGTGAGAGGTACACGTGCACCAGGTAGTAAGAGAAGGATCGTTCTGTACAGTTGTTGTTGGGTACTGTTGAGTCAGAACTGACTCCCAGCGAACCCTCTAGCAGGTTTCCAGAGGCAGTAAATTATCTGAGAGGAGATTTGTCATCTTGCCCCTACAGAGCAGCTTGTGGAATCAAACCAAGTACTTTGGGTTGGCAGTACATTGAGCCACCAGAGCTGTACAGTGTCACATCTTCCTCACCTGTGAGAGGCTGGCGCCTTGAATGACTGAGTTCCTGTTTAGCAGCCACCTACTAACTCTGAAGGCCTCACAGGCTTTGGAAGGAATGAACCAAAAAGAAGTGTAGTCAACTCTTTAGGCCTTCCTGCTTTGTCTAGGAAGATGGTTAACTTTGTCTGTGAGGGAGTTCGGTGACCTTCCTTGCAGATGCTCATTCAGAATGGAAAGCCCAAATTCCCTTTGCTTCCTAAGTATTCTAACTCTGGGTGTTTACTAAGGCCGGAGGTCCAGAGAGGCAATACTTTAATGGTAGTTCTGGCTTCATCTCTGGAATAATACCATCATCTGCTTTCAGTGAACACTGGGCAGCTTACTTTCAGTAACATATAACCCACTCGTTAACAACGAGAAGTTTTAGAGCTTTTAAAAAATCATTAATAAGTGTGGTTATTTCATTTTTTAAATGCACAATCCTGAATAGACCAGGGTGGGTTTTTTTTTTTTAAATATAGCTGAGTATTTTAATTATGAATGTACTTGCATATTCTCAGCATACTTCATTATTTATGTAGCCGGTGAAAAAGCTTTTTAATTAAATAGCATGCTGGCAATCCATTGTGAAATGTATAGATGTAGGTTTTACTAGCATTAAAGAGCTAAATGTGTGCACAAACTGACAAACACATGAAAGAGTCTAGTTAGCACACATACATACATGAATATGACCGTGTTGTTCCTGACTTATCTTTAAATTTGACCACATCTCTCTCTTCATTGGGAATGAAATGAATACTTTGATTTGCCTGGATTATGCTTCAACCAACTTGGAAATTGGGCTACAGCAGTGGTTCCCAAAAGTTCTTGTACCAACAGGATCAGCAACTCTTGACAACTCAAGAGATGCCAATCTTTGAGTCACACCCGAGTCCAACTGGGAACTGGGCCCCGTGGGCTGATCCAGTCTCATCCCCTACTCCCACCAGTGATTGGGGTGCAGGTTAAGGGCTGCGTGCCCCAGAGTTAGGATTATGACACGAAGCTGCTAACCGAGAGCTCACTGATGTGTTCTGGTGACAGATGGTGACAATAAAGGCAATCAGGCCACCCAAACAAATGCTGTGAAGGTTCATATTTGCTTAAGGCCAAGATCTAACCTGAGGTCTTTCAAGTTCCAACAGGGGCCAAAGACTGTGTGTGTCAAACATTTAAGAATGATTTGGTCCAGAATAAAGGCTGCACAGTGCAGTGGACTCGGGGGGAGGGATCGCATAGCAATGAAAGAGTTTTTCTTCTATTCATCAAGGAGAAAAGTGAATTGGGGGGGAGGGGGTAGGCAGGGAGAAAAGTGCAACAATGAATGAATGGAAACCTTAAGTCTCTGTAAACTTTCATTAAAATGAATAAAAAAAAAAGAGAATGATTTGGATTAAAGCTGGCCATTCATGTCAATTCTATATATATGTAACCATTTTGATTAAACACAGGTCAGGGTACAATGTATACACTGCTCTTCTTCGGTCTTTAAGATAAAACAACGAAACATCAAACTCAACTATCTGTTTAGTCTCTGCTTCATGGCAGGTTGTGATGGAAAAAACATCTTCCAGGGACACTCGTGCCTGTGTGAAGCCTGATGACCGGATTCGGCTACCTCCGAGGACTGGTGAATTGAGGCTGGGAAGTGAAGTGGAGGAGCCCACACTGGGAGTTAGTGCCAGAGATAGAACAACCCACCATCTGACTCCCTTCTCTGTGCTTTGTCTTCTGAATGAACAATGCTGCTTCTTAAGTACACATAAGCCAAACTGCCTCTCAAATTGCAGCCATCTACTTCGAGTTCAGATTTGCACAGCATGACATGAATTGGGCTGCAAATTATGCAGAAAACAGCCATCACATCCATCTGTGATGTCAGAACGCTCAAGTACAATGTGACCTGTTAGTATCTACGAGAGAAGAAGTATATTGGGTCTGATTTCTTCCCTCTGCGGCATGATGAATCTCCTCCCAGCTGCATTTGGCCCTGTGTGAAAAGGTTAAATATGATTGAGGTTTATGTCTGGGATATGCTCAAGAGCAGATTTCATATCCAAGGGTGCAGGCAATTAGATTTCTTCTTTTTTTTAAATGGTAGAGTAACTAGAAAAAGAAAACACACAAAATACACTCCAATCTAATGGTAAACTGAATTTATTTCCTCTTGGAAAAACAATTCCAGTAATCTCCAGGTTCAGACCGCAGAGTAAACATTAATAACAGTAACATACGGGTTAGTTCAACTGATTCAAGAATTTGGCTGTTGTGAAATCATTAAGGAAAACCTTGAACACTCAAAGCTTCAAATGTATCCAGGAAAAAAAAAATCTTTGACAGTCTACATAACAACTATTGCATATTTATGGTGATGCTACCTGTCACGTCGCAAGGCTTACAAATATATCTATACGGGCCTTATCCAGCTGTGGGTTGCAGCTCTGTGAGAACATCTCTCCATGGTTTGCAAGAATCTTCAGCAATAAAAAATAGTCTTGGGTTCAATCGATGATATACCAAAAGAGAAATTCTAGGCTTAAGTGTAAATAAAAGGCAGTCCAAACATTGTTGCATCAGGGGTAACAGTTGTTTTTTAATCTGTCTTCCTTGAAAATACTTTCTCTTAAGCCTTTTTTTCCATTCATCCTCCCCCTTTTTAAAAATCTTGCTTGAATAGGGCCCAAGTCCACTTGTCTTTATAAGACCGTTTTAGTATCAGACGACATAATACATGTGCAACACTTTATATACAAGGAGTCTATCCGGTGCTCAAAGTTCAAACACATGAACATCCAACAGTTTTGATAATACAAGTTTTATGGTACAATACAATGTTTCTGAATAATATACATTAACAATGGAAGTTTCGTGCAAAGAGTAAAACATGTTCCCTTTTTGTGCCACAAGAGTCATTCTCCTTGAGAGGTGGTCCTTGCACTAGCTGCTGTGCTGGGTCATTGTATGATTCTGAAAAAGAGAAAAGGGGGGGGGGAAGAAGAGCCTTTAGTGACTTTATTTGCACCAGACCACGCCGAGATAGAAGCTGATTGATTTATAGTGACATGAATGATATGCTTCAGCAAATCAGTGAATAGGTGGTATGGGTGTCTGTGCTACTGTCTGCCCCACTGGGGAGTCTCCCCGCCTGAGCTGTCACCTAGGAGCCCCAGGGGTAGCGGCCAGAGCTGGGAGCCCTCCTGGGATGAGGAACCTTTCTTCACCCTCCATATTTTCTCACAAAACACACCTTCTTTTGCTCAAGGTCAGCATTTTCTCTAGCAGTTTTATTTATCTGTGCATTCTTTCTTTTTTCCCCTTTTTAAAAAATTACACTAGTTTATTTACAAAATTTGAATACATTGTTTTCCAGAACACATTCTTCCAGTTTCTCTCACCTCCCCACCCATCAAATTGTACAACTCTATGATTAATCTCCCTCCCTGTCCCCACATATCCTCATCCCTCTGCTTCCATCTCCCCCCTCCCCCCTTGGATCCTTATACTCATTCTACAATAATGGTTTTATACAATATTTGTCCTTGTGGGACTAAGTTCACTCAGCATAATGCTCGCCAGTCCCTCCCAAGTTTGGTAATAATTTATGAAATCCTTGCTCCTGCATGCTGCGTAGTATTCCATTGTGTGAATATACAATAAATTTTCAATCCACTCGTTTGTGATTGGACATCTGGGCTGTTTACAAGTTCTTGGGATGTGAATAATGATGCTATGAACATTGGTGGACAAGTCCCTGTTTGTGCCTCAGTTCTCATATTCTCAGGGTATATTCAAGTAGTGGAATAGCTGGGTCATATGGAATTTCTATGTTCAGCTTTTTGAGGAAGTGCCAAACTGCCTTCCAGAATGGTTTTACTACTTTACAATCCCACCAACAATGTATAAGAGTTCCTTTCTTGCCACATCCTCTCCAAAATCCATTATTCGCTGCCCTGCTAAACTCTGCCACTGCTCTATTGGCACCTATGCTTCTGTATTAGATTTTCAATTTCTTATCCTGTGCCCATTTTTCTATTGGATTCTTTATCCTGTTGTGGTGCTCAAGTATTTCATAAATTCTGGATATAAGTCCCTTATCTGATATGTTATTACCAAATACTTTTCCCAGTCGGTGGCTTCCCTTTTTACCCTGTTGGAGAAGTTTTTGGATGTGCATAGGGATTTGAGTCTTAGAAGATCCCATTCATCTACTTTATCTTCTCCTGGTTGTAGGAGATTTTCAATTTCTTAAGAACCAAGACTCTCTCAGTGTCTAAACACGTTCTTTAAAGGCAAACACTCCATGGGTGGGCAGGGAACTCTGGTGGCTTAGTGGTAAGTAACTGTGCTGCCAACACAAAGGTTTGCAGCTGGAATCCACCAACTGCTATTCAGGAGAAAACTTTATGTGATTTATGACCTCTGAAAACCCACTGGAGGGTCAGCTATGGCTTGGTTCTGATTCAATGGTACACAGCAACAACAACAACAACAACAACAACAACAACAACAACAGCAACAACCACATAACCGGCTAAAAAAAACAAATAAAAAAAAAAAAACAACCACCACATGGTGGGACAGGAAGCACCGTTAGCCCATTTTCCGAGGGTTGTGGTGAAGAGGTTTATGGATGGATAACAGCAATGGCTCATTCTCACCTTACCTCCTCAGCAATCTTCCTGGGCCACATTCTGTTACTCCTCACCACACACATCATATTCCTGGTCCCCAACTCTGTCTTGCATCAAAATCCTGAAGCCCACATCACAATCTACCTCTTTTATACTCACTGCATCGGAAACTGTTCTTCCATCTCTAATTCCTCCCACACTTTCTAGTCCTTAAACCACACACATCTTCTTGTCTTATGGTAATCTGCTTGCCTCTCTCCCTTATGTTAGTAACTGTGAGGTTCATTCGTTATTTCATTCCTTCACAAGCATCTGCTGAACACTTGTGTTGCCACCTGGCACCCCCAGAACACCACAGTACTTGGCAAAGAGGACTTGGCGGCCGAAGGGCTGACTGGTGAGGCAGGGCTGCCGAGGAGAGAAGGCTAGATCCTTGCCTTCCAGGTGCTCACAGTTTAAGGAAGTTGGTCATGGGGTGCCCAAAAGCAAAGCATTATGGCAAGAGGTTAATGAGAAGTAAACATGGACATGTCAGTCTACAGCCAAGCCTGCTCAGCCTCTACAGAAGGCTTCACCATGCAAGTGGCAGGTCTAGTCAGACTGGATACAGAGAGGCAGAAGGACACTCCAAGTAGAGACCCACATGGGTAGAGGCACAGCTATAGCAAGCCCTGCTCACAGATCTGCAAGCTGTTCAGACTGAAGGGCGTCTTCTGGAGGCTCTGAGTCAAAAGCAAGAGATGAAACTGCAGGTGAGTCTGGGGCCAGATGGAGAAGAACTTGGGTGCCTTGCTGAGGCACTCTGACTGTGTCTTACAGGCAAAGAGGAGCCATACAGGCTTTTTAGGCGGAAGGTTTATTACCTTTTTATTCTAGCAAACGTCTGCTCTGAGACAGGCTCTCAGCTATAGAGACTGCTCGGTGATGGGAAGGTAGCTAATGAGGTTCAGGACCCAGGTCCTGTGTTCTTGAGGGCAAACCTGGTTCATTCCCGACAACGACTGACGCCAAGTGATAACAATGGAGACGGGCACCCTACTCCCCCTTATGGAAAACATGCCTCCTTTCATTAACTCAGAGAAAGACAAGCTGTTTTTCTTTCTTTAGTCTACATACTGAGCCCCAACGTGCACAAGAGAGCAAGCTGTTTTCATGTCAACTCTTGTTTTCTTTATAATGATTTTCTATACTTCCAAAAATTACATTTCCAGAATATGTAGCCATAAAGAATAATCAAAATACTAATGAGAATGAAAGTATTCTCTGATTTTCCTAAAAATCAATACAAGTGGGATTAGAAGGGTTATAAATTATATAAAATCCAATTATTCAAAATGCATGAAAGCATCTTCCAAGAGTCCAAGTGGATCTTATAGAAGAATTTTTTATTTAAAAAAAAATACAAAATGCCCAAATGCACACAAATACACAGACTCACTCCATCCTTCCTTCCGTCCATCCATCCATCCATCCATCCATCCATCCATCCATCCATCCATCCAATCCATCTCTTGAGCTATGAAAACCACTATCTAAATAACAGAATGAGAGGAGGATGGTAGTCTTCAAAACATACTCATAGTACAAAGTAATCAGCCTCATTAGCATTACTATTAAATGTCTGAGTACTTGTCATAGGTACTTCAGATTCAGTAGGATTCTAAGGAAGATCTACTGTAACCACACCTGCGTTTCCACACGTGTCTATGTCAAGAGACTGTGAAACAAGAGTCTAAAACCTTGTGCATAACAGGAGCAAGAGCCGAGTCTGTGAGGCTTCGTCTAAGCCAGAGCCACGCACATCTCTGCAGAGGTGGAGGGAGATGAACAAATAACCTATAAATCACTTATTGCAATTGACTGAAGGAACTTTCATAAAGGAATCATGGTTTGCATATTAAGAGAGAAGAAATCACTTAAAAGGCCAAGAACAGGGTTTGGCTTATATGGAAATAAGCAACTACAATAGAAGCAATTTCCAAATGGAAAGTCTGGCATGAGAAATGAGAAAGGCAGAAAGGCCTCTCGGTGTGGAGACACGGGCATACCCCTCAGATCACACGGGCATACCCCTCAGATCACACGGGCATACCCCTCAGATCACATGGGCATACCCCTCAGATCACCGAGTCTCCTTTCTGCTTCTATTTTTTTTCCTTCTTCATTTACAACTGCCCCGGGGGGAGCGTTGGTGGCATAGTCAGTGGGGAGTTAGGCTGCTAATCCGAAGGTGGCGCCTCTTTGGTGGTTCAAATCCACAGGAAGGGTGGCAATCCACATCCATGCAATTTACAGTCTTTTCAAATCCCGCTGGAAGGTCAGCTGTGAGTCGGTTCTGACTCTAAAGCAATGAGTTGAGTCTTTCCATCACAACTAGGGTCTACAACAGGTTGAATGATTGCTGCCACCATTGGAAGGAATGGAACAACATGCATTAAAAAAGAACACAGACAACCTAGTGGCCCAGCGGCACTCCTACAGGGCTTGCCCCCCTGGCCTCTGCCTATCACTGTGGGGAAGCACCTGCTTTCCCCTTCCACCCTAACAGGGGAGGGGCAGGATGAATGTGAGACTCACAGGTGACTCACCTGGCTTTCAGGGCCTGGGAAGAACAGATGTGAGGGAAAGCCAATAAAGGGACTGAGCTCTTGGTGTTACTCTTTTGGTCCTGGCTCGGTGTATGGCACGTGACCAGAGCTGGAGCAGAGGTCTTCACATTCTACCTACTCTTTTAGCTTCAGCCTGCTGTTGTCTCTTTGCCATCTTTTCCTTTTGCTTTCTCCTCTGTCTCCGTTGCTTTTTAAAAGAAAACAATGCCTTTGTAAGATATCTGGAGACACTGAGGACACAGCCATGATCGAGCAGAGAGGAGAAAAGGGCTGGCACCCTGTGGCGAGCAGCCTTCACTGGGCAGCAGTTTGCAGCTCCTTTGGTCCAAGTGAAACCATCGAATGAGCACAAAAAGCAGTGGGTAATCTCACCAATTTTACACAGCAATTCACAGTCCCCAAAGCACTTTAATGCAATGACAGGTTATGAGAAAAAATATCTGTTCCAATGAAGGGAAAGTGTTTTACATAATCGAGAAGTACATCAGTGCACCATCGACGGAGGTGGGGGGCGATGGCAGAAGAGGAAGTAGGAGGAGAAGAAAACTTCTGTAATCCCACAGAGAGCCGTATTCTACTCTGCAAAAAGCTATCTCCTGGAGACCCCACGACTAAGTAACTGAAAATTGCAAACCATTAATCCCAGTTATGAACAGTTGCTTTTCACGAGGGGGGTTTGTGCTAAAAAAGGGGGGGGGATAAAATGCACAACACACCTTAGAGCCTA